GCCCTTTAATGCCCTTCTAAAGAAGGGCATCAAAAAAGCCAAACACCATTACAAAAAGAAGGTAGAAGAACATTTCTCCAACTCCAACCCCCGACGCATGTGGCAAGGACTCCAGACCATCACAGACTACAGGACCACCAAACCTTCCCCCGCATCCACTGATGTCTCCTTCCTCAATGAGCTCAACAACTTTTATGCTCGTTTTGAGCGAGGGAACCCCACAACCACAACCAAAGCAGACATGACGCCAGATCACCAACCTCTGACTCTCTCCCCCACCGATGTAGGAGCGGTGCTGAGCAGGATCAATGTCCACAAGGCTGCAGGTCCTGATGGCATCCCCGGGCGTGTTCTCAGAGCGTGTTCTGGGGAGCTTGCAGGAGTGCTCACAGACATATTCAATCTGTCCTTGGCCCACGCTGTGGTACCGGCCTGCTTCAAATCCACCTCCATCGTCCCGATACCCAAAAACTCCAACCCATCTTGCCTCAATGACTACCGCCCAGTAGCACTCACCCCCATCATCACTAAGTGCTTAGAGCAGCTGGTCCTAGCACACTTCAAATCCTGTCTCTCCCCCACCCTGGACCCCCACCAATTCGCATACCGCCAGAACAGGAGCACAGAGGATGCAGTCTCCATCGCACTGCACTCTGTCCTCTCACACCTGGACAACAACAACACCTACGCCAGAATGCTGTTTATAGACTTTAGTTCAGCGTTCAATACAATCCACCCCTCACAACTCATCAGGAAACTGACAGACCTGGGCATCAGTTCCCTCATCTGCAAATGGTTACTGGACTTCCTGACCAACCGCCCCCAACGTGTCCGGCTGGATAACCGCTGCTCATCTACAATCACGATGAACACCGGTGTACCACAAGGTTGTGTGATGAGCCCTTTCCTCTACTCCCTCTTCACCCACGACTGCAGACCGGCTGATGGTTCCAACGCCATCATTAAGTTTGCAGATGACACCGCGGTGATTGGCCTCATCAGTGACAACAATGAGGCCGCCTACAGGGAGGAGGTGGATTGTCTGGCTGAGTGGTGCGACACAAACAACCTGCTGCTTAACACTGAGAAGACCAAGGAGCTCATCGTGGACTACAGGAGGAATGCTGACCCACATCCACCCATCCACATTAAGGGGACAGCTGTGGAGCGTGTGAGCAGCTTCAAGTTCCTGGGAGTCCACATCTCCGAGGATCTCACCTGGACGACCAACTGCTCCAAGCTGGTCAAGAAGGCTCGCCAGCGCCTCTTCTTCTTGAGGACTCTGAGGAAGAACCACCTGTCCTCAGACATCCTGGTGAACTTCTATCGCTGCACCATCGAGAGCATCCTGACCAACTGTATAACAGTCTGGTACGGGAACTGCTCTGCCTCGGACCAGAAGGCGTTGCAGAGGGTCGTGAAAACTGCCCAGCGCATCGCCGGAGCACCACTTCCTGCCATAAAAGACATCTACAGGAAGCGGTGTCTGAAAAGGGCTGGGAAAATCATCAGAGACCCCAGTCACCCATCACATGGACTCTTCACCCTCCTGCCCTCTGGGAGGCGCCACAGGAGCCTTCGGACTAAGACCACCAGGTACCGGAACAGCTTCTTCCCCACAGCTGTCAGACTCCTGAACTCTGCCTCCTGACATCTGACCCACGTTAAACTCATGGACTGAACATACACACACCCAGAATGGACAACTGTACCCTCAAACACACAATAATAACATGGACTGAACCACCACTCACAACCACTAGCACTTTATATAGCCTCTGTAGAAACTATCTACACCCTCACTTATCTTAACTGCACTACTGTATAGCTCTGTGTAAATAATCATTCTGTACATTCGATAATCTTTAATCCTACAACCGTTTACAACTTTCATAGTTCCCATTTCTGTATAGCTGTATATCTCAGATTCTGTAAAGTTATTTATTTCATATTCTGTATAGTTTTTCATATTTATATCCTGTTCATAGCCTGTACATAGCTTGTACTCACTACAGCCTGTACATACTTATAGTTATAGAATATTCACAACATACTTCATACCGTGTACATTATAACATACCATAATAGACCCATTTCTGTAATATACTTACATATCTATACTATTGCTAATATATATTGTAATATATCTATATCATGGCTAAAGCACTTCTGGATGGATGCAAACTGCATTTCGTTGCCCTGTACCTGTGCATGTGCAATGACAATAAAGTTGAATTGTATTCTATTCTAAAATAATAAGAATGCTATGTATGATAATTGGGAAACTACAAGTGTTAAAAAAAAAGAATTACTACTACATTGAAAGCTGTTATAGTACGCCTTAAACTCATAGACATTTGGAGATTCAAATATGCTCATTCCAAAACGTTTACTTAGTGCAACAATTCTAACTCGAGACATTCAAGGATAGACTTTTGGTTAGTTTGTGTCATGGTTCTGGGTCAGTGACCCAGTGTTTTTGATTTTGTACTCTTATTTTTGATAGTATGAATGATAACTGTTTGTGTTTTTGGTTTCCCAGTGTTTATTCTGTGCTCCCTTTGTTTTCTGTCGTCCCTGCCTGTATATCCCCTCTAGTGTAGTCAGGTCTCTGCGTTAAGCCTGCGTCTCTGAGTCTGTGTCTTTGCGTGTGTGTTTCCCGTTTTATTTTGAAGGTCCGTGTCTGATCTCAGTGTGTTCAGATTACGCTTCCTTGTCTCGTCAGTTCTGATTTCTCCCAGCTGTGCCCTCCTTCTGTGTCTCACACACTTCCCAGTGTATTTAAACCCTGTGTTTCTCTGAGTCAGTGTCACGTCGTTCCTCGTGCTGTGTGGAACTCCCTGTGTCTCCCTGAGTGTTTAGTTTGTCATTTTCCAGTTCAGTTTAGTTTGCTTTTGCTTTTGTATGCTTTTCCCGGCCAGCAAATAAAGCTGTGGTTTTGAGTTCATCCCTCGTGTCTAAGAGCCTGCATTTTGGGCCCAATTCCTGTCTGCCACACAGCGATTCATGACAGAGAAAGATGATGTGAAAAAGGATCTTAAAGAACTGATCTCAAACTATTGATCTAGAGCTCGAGAAAAATTAAAGTTTGCAAATAACTGGGAATTATTAAAATTTGAAATTGACAAATATTTAAGGAAGGTTGGCAGCCTTAACGTGAAATCGAAAAGATTAGAGGAAGAAAATACAATCTCTCAAATTGACACTAATTGAAGAGGATAAATTGAACCTTGCTAAATTACAAGATAAATTAGATGGCTTATACTCAGACAAAGCAAAAGGAGCTTTTATCAGATCCAGATCTTGAAGAAGGTGAGTGCAATTCCTATTATTTCTTCAGCTTAGAAAAGAAACACTCAAGCATAATATTAGCAAATTAATGATAAATGTGGTTATAACAGAGGATTACAGATTAATCTCTAAACTCTGTAGTCATTTCTATAAGGAATTTTTAGCTGTACATTTTCTCAGGAAGCTTCAGATCACCTCTTATAATTGCTGAATGTTAAATCTGTCAGCCAAGAAGATTCTATATTATGTGATCTACCCGTCTCATTAGAAGAAGTCACAGATGCAATTGGGCTATTAAAAATAATACATCTCCAGGCACAGATGATCATACTGCAGAATTATATAAAACTTTTTCTGAAGAGTTCTCTTCCTTTCTTCTTGAGGTTTTTGCTGAAAGCATATGAAACCACCAACTTCCCACTACGATGAATCAAGGTTTGACCACATTGTTTCTGAAGCAAAATAAGGACCTCTTAATGATTGATAATTGCGGACCAAATAGCTTATTAAACAATAATTAAAGAATACTTGCTCTAATTTTAGCTAACAGACTTAAGATGGTTGTTGACTCGGTTAATGATGAAAGACAATCTGGGTTTATGCCCAAAAGACATATAACAATATCAGATTGGTTTTAGATATTCTGGATTATTCTGATAAATAGCAGTGGTTTCATATTATTTTTAGAGTTCTACAAGGCCTTCGATACGGTGAAGCATGAATTTATATTTCAAGCTCTAGATAGATATGGTTTTGGTACTTACTTTCTACGGTGATTAAAACATTATAACAATAACAGCAGTATCAAATTAACAAACAGTACTTCACCCAGATTTAACATACAAAGAGGGAAAAGACGAGGCTGTCCCAAAACAGGTCCCTGTACCTGTTTTAGTTAATTGCCCAACTATTGTTCCTTCCAATAAAACAAGAAGTTCGTTATTTCGGTATTGTAATAACCAAAAACCAGGAAAGAAGAATTGATCAAATTTCTTATCTAATTCTAGTGAAACTCAAACACAGATTTACTCTGTGGCTCTTAAGAGATTTATCATTAAAAGGCAGAGTATTAAAAACTAAAGCAGAAGGTATCTCTCATCTTACATACGCTGCATTGGCATTGCACCTTGATAATAAACTCATAAAAGAGGTTGATAAGTTACTTTTCAATTTTATTTGGAAAAATAGGACACGCTACATTTAAAAAACAGTTCTTATGAACTCCTGTGTCAATGGAGGACTTAATGTGTTCGATTTTAACACTCTAAATAACACATTCAAAATAAATTGGTTAAAAAATATAATTACAAATCCTACATCCATTTGGATACTATACCTATGTACATGTTTTCTAAGGAAGGTGTCCTTACTTATAATTTTAATATTGATAAAATCCCTATATAAATCTCTGCATTTCATCGCCAAGCTTTTTTAGCATGGACTCTTATTTACAAACATGGTCTACACAAACACCAAAACCACAACAGATGTGTGATTAACTTGTTAATCTTAATGGTTAAATTTCATATTCACAAATCCAAATGTTTAGGAAGACATCCCTCTTTTTATGTTTTTTTCCCACGAGCTTGTGCAATACCTTTAATATAGTGCTGTTTAATTCTATTTTGTATAATGATGTTTAAATAAAGGTTTGTAAAAAAAAAAGAAGAAGAAGAAGACAAAGAAGGAGGAGTGTGCGTACTGTGCTCTTTGCTGTGTCTTTCCGCCATTTTAAAAATGGGCACTTTTTGAAGAACCCGCATCAAAGTATTGTGGAGAAGCGTCGTGTTAAATCTAATTGATGAACGGCTTTTTGTGAGGTATGTGTTGCAGCTGCGAAGACGAACGTATGTTCTCCTGCTAGGTTACAGCTGGTAGGAAGGTGCGTTCAGTGTGTCTTTGTAATTTTAAGTTTCCATATCAAACGAGATGAAACAGTTATTTCTGGATGCGCAATTGTTCGCTGAGTTTGGTAACAATGTGTTTTTGTAAACAGCGTGATGATTTAAGTCATTTAATCTTTACAGAACATGTGAGCGAGGCTAATAGAGCAATATTTTTATGTTTAGTAAACTGACGTTTCTAAATGTTACTGCTTTTATTTCATTAGTTCTGACGAGGACAGCTGAATGATGTTGTTGGTGAGCTTGGATTAAATCATCTCTAAAAAAAGAACTTGTCCTCGTGGTGACTGACTTGGGGAGTGGAGGTCAGTGAGCCCATTGTCTCTGCTGGTCCGACTCCAACTACAAAGCCGGCCCGCTCGCCCCCTCCTGAGTCTGAGAGGAGATCCAGAGTAAGTCAGTTATAACTACACTGGTTGCTTAACTTCATCATTTTCTACAGGGTCTCTCTCTCTTAGCTCACTTTGATTTGATTTCTGCCTTCTGTTTAGCCTCTCTGTCTGCCTCAGTACATTAATGTTTTATCATTTGAGATATGAAGGTGATGTCTGTGGATATTGTGGGAAATATACATGTAGCAGTATTTCAGTAAGTGTCAGTCAGTCAAGAAGCAAAAGAATATTTAAACTAAAACACATTAAAAGAAGTGTGTTGCTTGTAACTGCATACGTTCCTGCACAGGGGCGGTTAGAACAGGATGTACTCAGGATGTGGCATACACGATCACGGGCCTCATAACGATCAACAGGAAACAGCTGGGGGTGAAAGGGTCTCGAAACGGCATTCTAAGTGTTGTAAAAAGGAACTTACTCATGCATCTTTAGCGTGTACAACCCTATAAAATAAAGAAGTTCTTGTCCTTCCTCTATGAGATCTACCAGACTACACTGAGGGTGGTATCGTGTACGTCTCCCACATATGTGCTTAATACATAATTGTTGTGTACTGGACCTGATCTGAGTATTGGTTGTTTGTTCTCAGCCCAACATAAAACAATCGGGACAAGAGGCTCAGCATGACCTCATTAAAAATCCACTTTTCTTCTTTCATATTCTTTCTGACGTCTTTTCTTGTGTAAGCTGCTAACTCTTGTGATGGAGATTTCTTTATTTTATGTGTTGATCATATGTTTTGACAAAATGACTTTAGTAGTATCTATAGTACATTTTGTGTGACTTGGTTCTACATATAGGAAAACATCAAATATGTATTTCACAGGTTATTCCACACACAGATGGGTATTGTGAGTGAGTTGGACTGACACTCCCAGGCACCATGAGACATTAGGCAGATAGTGAGACTCCTTATCTCCAGGAAGGAGGTGTTGAGATGAAATTATTTGAAGTGCCTCAATTCTATGCTGTATATTAACTAAAATGCCATATAACCGTATAGTGTAGTATTAAGTGGACATGGCCCTGAAAAATAAAGGCATTAGACTACGTGTCCTTGGGGGGTAGAAAGCTGTAGACTCTCGCCCACGCTTGCCTGTGAAAAACTAGATAACAGGGGACCATCTTCTAGTGGAGATGCATTATAACTCACCTGTGCATTATAATAAAAGGTGTTGATTGCAGCTGACAGTGTCTGCAGACTTTGATAACTGTGACACCCTCGTGGTTAATCAGAGGGAAATCTGAGTCAGTGTGGATTTGGTTGTACAGCTCTCACACATACAACCTGAACTGCACATTGTAAGTGTGATGTTCTTCAAATTTGAACAAAGTAAAAACTAAAAAACTTTGAAGTCACACAAGCCAAAATTTTATTCACAATGTTGAACTTTTACTACTTTTATCGCCAAAATGAGCTCACTTCAAATGTTTACCACAGCATAGCGTCCCCAGGCACCTGAGACGTTTGGCAGATGGTGAAACTGTTTATCTTTGTGAGGTAAGAGGGGGCACTTGTGGATGAGCTGAAGGTATAGACCTGATGTCACTGTTTGGGTTCTTTGTCATTACAGGAGAAAGAAGTGAAAGCAGGCCCAAACCTGAGCACATGGATGACATCAACCAAAAACATCCAGCACCAGCAAGTAAAGATGAGCCAGCGGCGATCCCTGTGGAAAAGACTTTTCCTGCTATGAAGCAGCCCAGAAGACGCAAGCGCGCCAACAGGGAGGACAGAAGCTTGAGCTGTGATCAGTGTGGAAAGGCTTTTACTCGGAGTAGCAACTTAAAAACACATCAGCTCATCCACAGTGGAGAGAAACCATTCAGCTGCGATCTGTGTGAGAAGACCTTTACTAAGAGATGGAACTTAAAAACACATCAGCTGATCCACAGTGGAGAGAAACCATTCAGCTGCGATCTGTGTGAGAAGACCTTTGCTCTGAGATGGAGCTTAAAATCACATCAGCTGATCCACAGTGAAGTTAAACCATTCAGCTGTGATCAGTGTGGGAAGACCTTTACTCAGAGATGCAGCTTAAAAACACATCAGCTAATCCACACCGGTGTGAAACCATTCAGTTGTGATCAGTGTGGAAAAACCTTTACTCTAAGATGCAGCTTAAAAAAACATCAGCTAATCCACACCGGTGTGAAACCATTCAGCTGTGATCAGTGTGGAAAAACCTTTACTCAGATTTTTCACTTGAAATCACATCAGCTGATCCACACCGGTGTGAAACCATTCAGTTGTGATCAGTGTGGAAAAACCTTTACTCTAAGATGCAGCTTAAAAAAACATCAGCTAATCCACACCGGTGTGAAACCATTCAGCTGTGATCAGTGTGGAAAAACCTTTACTCAGATTTTTCACTTGAAATCACATCAGCTGATCCACACCGGTGTGAAACCATTCAGCTGTGATCAGTGTGGAAAAACCTTTACTCAGATTTTTCACTTGAAATCACATCAGCTGAGCCACACCGGTTTGAAACCATTCAGCTGTGATCAGTGTGGAAAGACCTTTACTCAGAGATCCAACTTAAAAGCACATCAGCTGATCCACACCGGTGTGAAACCATTCAGCTGCGATCTGTGTGGGATGTCTTTTACTCAGAAAGGTCACTTAAAATCACATCAGCTGATCCACACCGGTGTGAAACCATTCAGCTGTGATCAATGTGGAAAGACCTTTACTCAGAGATGCACCTTAAAACAACATCAAGTCGTCCACACGAAATTTAAAGCTTTCAACTGTGATCTGTGTGGGATTTCTTTTACTAGGAAAGCTTACTTTAAATCACATCAGCTGATCCACACCGGTGTGAAACCATTCAGCTGTGATCAGTGTGAAAAGAGCTATACTCTGAAAGGTCATTTAAAGGCACATCAGCTGATCCACACCGGTGTGAAACCATTCACCTGTGGTGAGTGCGGAAAGTCTTTTATTAAGAATTACCGCTTAAAAGCACATCAGCTCATCCACAGTGAAGTTAAACCATTCAGCTGTGATCAGTGTGGAAAGACCTTTACTCAGAAAGGTGACTTAAAGAGACATTATATGATCCATGTTGGAGGTAAATCATTTGTCTGTGATCAGTGTGGAAAGTCTTTTCAGGATAGAGATCACTTAGAGAGACATCAGGGCGTCCACAGTGAAGTTAAACCTTTCAGCTCTTATCTGTGTGGAAATTCTTTTACTGGGATTAGTAGGTTAAAAATGCATCAGCTCATCCACTCTGGAGTTAAATCATTTGTATGTGGTGACTGTGGAAAGGCTTTTACTCGTATGACTGGCTTAAAATCACATCAGCGCACCCACTCTGGAGTTAAATCATTTGTATGTGGTGACTGTGGAAAGGCTTTTACTCGTATGACTGGCTTAAAATCACATCAGCGCACCCACTGTGGAGTTAAATCATTTGTATGTGATCAGTGTGGAAAGTCTTTCATCCATTACAAAAGTCTATTGAGCCATCAAAAGACCCACAAAGTGTCCTCCTGTGAGAAAAGTGGCAGACCAATGGGACATTACCCTGACAGGGTTCATTTGAACACAGTGGGAGAAACGGGGGTTCTGAACAAAAGTTCTTCTGGATGCTGCGTCAAACTTAAAAAGCTTGAGATCAGGCTTCACAGAATTCAGCTTTAATTTCCTGAGAAAGTCAGAGCTTCACTGTCTTTGTAGATCTAGTGAAAACATGAAAGGGTGCAAAAAGAGGCACTGTGGTACTGCATGATGAAGTCAGAAGTGACAGAGAAGTATGTGAGCGTGGTTCAGGACATGTTTGTGTGGTAGCAGTGACTACCACACATACTTGGGTTGAAGGTGGGGGCAGGATTACATCAATTCTGAGCCCCTTCTTCCTTTTTCAAAGAGAGGGCAATACTCAGGAAAGGATGATGACAATAGAGCTGCAAGACAGGATGGAAAGAAAAAGAGTTTAAGAGAAGATCATGAATGTTGTGAAGTGATCGAGCCGCGATTACAAAATCTTAGCTTATGGAGTTAGTTATCCCAACACAAGTTTAGCAAGTTACACTTCACTGGCTGTGTCCACAAACAGCATGCAGAGCAAACATTACTCCCATCATCTGATCACAAGAAAAGCAAAATGTCAGAAGAGTTCACCTTCTGGGTCAAACTGTCAGACCTGTTACTGTTTATTTGGCTGTTCATTGTGAGGTAATTATCAGTGTCAGTGCTGCGCCACTTCTGTTGTAACTCACAGGAAATGTGTTTTAAATGGGCTCTATTGTCTTACAATATTGTGTGAGTCTGTTTTGCTCCAGAAGGACACAACCATTCCTGCAATTTTTAATGTTACAGTAAAAAAAAAGTAAATTCATAAATTTGTGTCATTTTAAACAGGCAGTATGTGGAAAATTACACGTGGGTAAGAATATATTTAATGTTTTCAGTGGTCTGTTTTCTTACAGGATGTGAGTGTGTTTTGCTCCATGAAGACACAAACCTTCATTTTTTGTTATGTTGCAGTAAAAATATTTTTATTGTAAGTCATATATTTTCGTCATTTTATCCAGGCAGTATGTAAAAGATTAACTGAATCATATGAAAAATAAAATGTAGAAAGATGTGACGTATCTTTCCGTCTTTTTCTGAATAATTACACACTGCTTAAAATTAATTGCAGTATAATTATTTGTTTATTTCTTCCTCTGTAAGAAACTGACTTGCTGTCCCTTTGTTCCCGTGTACCTAAGTAATTGTGGGTAATATCTAGATGCACGCTCAATCATCCAGGTAAGGAAATCCCAGAAGTTGATTCTGTTCATCTGGACGTAGCGTTTTCAGTGGGACAAACGTTTCGTAACTCATCCCAGAGACTTCTTCAGTCTCAGCTGACTGCAGGTTTCTCCAATCTTATAAACACTTGCATAATTTTTGCATAATGAATGAACAATGGGCTGTGAGGTCAGTTCCTTGATCATTAGCATGCAAAGTGTCATGACCACTGATCACTAAATCCACTATTGGAGTGTACATTGTCCGCTCCATTTCTAGCTGAATGCATCACATTTACTTCTTCACATTTTGTACCAGAAGACTTACCAGCCTTTAGAAGACAGTGGTCCCGAACCAGAAATGGTAAAGTCGCTGTGTATAAGAGCAAGGATATTATATAGGGTTTATCTGACAATATAAATGGTACTTGATTAAATATTAACAGCAGTACTAAGTAGCAGCCTGACCATTGATTCAGATTGAATACATAATTTTCTCTGGGAGCAGGCCTGTCGTCTGGAACATGCTTTATATTTACAGCATGGAGGGCATCCGGGTGGGTCTTTATAAATTGCTTGCAAGTAGTCTTAAGATGACACTTTGCAGATCCCAGTGCCAACACTTCTCATAAGCCTTCACCCTTGTGTACTTCTGCTCTGTGCTCACTTGAAAAGTTGTTTCAGATATCAGAATACTTTATTAATCCTGAAGGAAATTAGGGTTACAGCAGGCTAATGGCGCATGCGCACTTACAAAGGAACCTTCTGACCAACTTTACACAAACATCACATTGAGGAGACATGTCAGAAAGGTAGGCTGATAGGAAAAAAAAAACAACGAAAATACATAACATGAGGTAAGAGGAGGAGAAAAAAACTCCACTCAGACTGAGCTCCTAGTGGGAGAACAGTTTGATAACAGAAAAAACACCTCAGCACAAAAAGCACATGACTATCAATACACCATAGAAACACAAGACAAGCAACAGGGGAGGGTAAAGGGTAAGAGAGCCGCTGTAGACAGCGCATCCGATCCTGCAGTGTGTCTGCGCTGGTCCAGTCGACTGCCATCTTCCCCGGTAGGGCACAAGCATCGAAGGCATTTGGAAAGGGAGGGGGGATGAGTGTGTGCATATCAGTGTATGTGTGTGTGTGTGTGTGTGTCCAGAGTTCAGCTGAGACAGTGTCCTTCGCCCTGCCAGGCTAAGTAAACAGTCTTCCAGCCAACCCAGGTGGCCTTGCATGGAATGGGGGGAACAGTCTAAACGCAGTCGTTATCAGGGTGTTTTGTTCAGCTCCAGCCTTGAGGCTGCAGCTGGAGCCGAAGGGGTCTCCGCATGAAGTGATGGTGATTTTTACTTTAGTGCGAACAACTCATATGAATTTCAAAGCTGTTCTAACAGTCCAACACTAGTCTCTCAATTTCCCGTTGGAGAGCCGTGAGCTTTCTATGATGTTATCCAAACTTACATTCTGTGATGTTGTCATTCTTGTGGTCAAAGAGCAAGTTCTGAGAACTAACGACCGCAGTGCACTTCCCCAAGATGTAATCGAATTTGCGCTCAAAGGTGTTGTTCGAGCTAGCCCCTCCAGATGTAATCCAGTTTTTCACTCAGAGATCTTATTCTGAGTATTGACGGCAGCCGTGTGTTCTCCAAGATCTTCTCCGTGCTGCACTCAATGAGCCCATTTTGAGAAACTCACGCCTCGTCCCATCATTTCAATCCCAGCGGGCAGCCTTGTGGGGGTTTGAACAGCCGGTTCCGCTTCCTTAATTCTTCGATAAGCCAGCTCCGATCAGCAAGAACCCTGTTATCATGGTTCCAAATAGGTAGATATCTTCAGCAGTCAGGCTCACTCGAGCCCGGACTTCTCGTTGAGAAGGGGTGTCAATTGCATTCAGAGACCAGTTGATCAAATCCATAATTCATCTTTTAGGTTTTAGAGAACAGACTGTGAGAGAGTGTTCCAAGGAAAAGTAAGTAAAAACACAAGAGAAGACAAGGACATAAGAAGCTAAGCAGGGAAGATAAGGGCAGGAGAGGAGAAAAGTGCGACCGCCTTCGCTGAGAGCCAAAAGAGAGAGAAAAAAAAGCTAGTGGTCAGTCTTGGAGCAGTACAGTACAACAAAACAAACAAACAAAAAATATGCCTAGCGGACATAAGCCCAAAGATCCTGACTTTCTCTACATTTTTTAGGGCAGCATTCCCCAACCTTTTTTGCACCAGGGACAACTCAGACAATATTTTCAGGGACCGGCCTTTAAGATAAATACAACAAAATAAAACGATACAAAGACGAAAACTGTGGTATTTTGTAAATATAATAATAAACGCGAATTCAGCTGTGTAATTGTGTAACTTTATTAGCAGCGTCCTCCTGAAATGCGCCAACAACATTGAGAGTAACATCCTCCTCTCTGCTTCTTTATGCTCTCTGATCGCTATGTTAACGCTTAAATAGTTCTTTCAAAATAAGACACATGACTACAACATGGGAAAAGACCCAGGGAAACAGACTTAACGATAAAAACCCTGAAAACCATACACTTCACACCAGAGCCTTTTCTCTGAGTCTCACTTTATAAGCTAATTGTTCTAACAATAGCTTCCTCAAAAGTGCAAGTTTAGATGAAAGAACTTTGTGGTTGAATGTTTTTAACATTCAAACATATAGTTTTGTATGTTTGAATGTTAAAAACAGCATCAACACAGCCACTTTATCCAGTAAACTTTAAAATTGAAGTTCATTGAAGTCTCCCAGCAGGACAACAGAGTCTCCACAGAGCACCTTCCAGCACCCCACCCAGGGACTCTAAGAAGGCTGGGTACTCTGAACTACCACTCGGCGCACAAGCGCAGATGACAGTCAGGACCCGATCCCCAACCCTAAGGCGCAGAGAACAAACCCTCTCATCCACCGGGAAGAACCCCAACGTACAGGCAGCAAGCCAAGGGGATATTAGAATACCCACTCCAGCCCGCTGCCTTTCACCAGGGGCTACTTCAGACTGAGACAGAGTCCAGCCCCTCTCCAGGAGACTGGTTCTAGAGCCCAAGCCATCCGTAGAGGTGAGAAAAACTATATCTAGCTGGTACCTCTCAACCTCATGCACTAACTCAGGCTCTTTCTCCATGTCCCAATTGCCAGTCTTAGTAGCCAGGGATCGGTCTGCCAGGGCATCCGCTCCTGGCTGCCGCCCGGCATACAATGCGCCCTACCCCTATCGTACCACCCGCGGGAGGTGCCATAGGGGTCGAGATCGCGGAAACAAGCGCCAGAAATGAGCTTCCTCCGAAGGGTGGCTTGCCTCTCCCTTAAAGATAAAGTGAGAAGTTCAGCCATCCGGGAGGGGCTCAGAGTAGACTCGCTGCTCCTCCACATCGAAAGGAGCCAGCTGAGGTGGTTCGGGCATCTGACAAGGATGCTCCTGGGCACCTCCTGGGTGAGGTGTTCCAGGCATGTCCCACCGGGAGGAGACCCCGGGGCAGACCCAGGACACGCTGGAGAGATTATCTCTCGGCTTGCCTGGGAACGTCTTGGTGTTCCCCCAGACAAGCTAAAGCAGGTGACTGGGGAGAGGAAGGTCTGGGCTTCTCTGCTTAGGCTGCTGCCACCGTGACCCGGCCCCGGATAAAGCAGAAGAAAATGGATGGAAAGCAGTTCTGTTTTTTCCCTGCATTATATACATATATACCGTATTTTCACGCCCATAAGGCGCACTTAAAAGTCTTAGATTTTCTTTAAAAAGTACGGCGCGCCCTATAGCGCAGTGCGCCCTGTGTGTTGTAAGGAGGACATAGTAGAGAACACCATGAGAACGCTAAAGGGTGAAGTGTGGGCGTTGATCGTATATACCGGACAATCGCACATACCTGTCTAAAAGGACAGGTATGTGCATTATGTGGAACATCGTTGTTTTAACAACCCTGAAAATGGCAAAGAGACACGCTTATGAAGCACAGTTTAAACTGAAGGCCATCAGCTACGCGGAGGAACATGGAAATCGAGCAGCGGCGAGAGAATTTAAGATTAACGAATCGATGGTTCGCAAATGGAGGAAGCTAGAAAACAAGCTCCGGCAGGTCAAGAAAACGCAGCTGAGTTTCCGCGGACATAAGGCGAGGTGGCCCGAGTTGGAGGAAAGACTTGAGCGTTGGATCATCGAGCAAAGAACGAGCGGGAGAGGCGTTTCGACGGTCACCATTCGGCTAAAAGCGGTTTCACTAGCTGAAGAGATGAACATTGAACATTTCCAAGGAGGTCCGTCTTGGTGCTTTCGTTTTATGAAACGGTGCCATTTTTCCATCCGGACCAGGACTACGGTAGCGCAGCAACTTCCAGCGGATTATAAGGAAAAACTGGCCATCTTCCGCTCCTACTGCAGCAAACACATCGGCGACAAAAACATCCAGCCCAGCCACATCACTAACATGGACGAGGTCCCGCTCACTTTTGACATCCCGGTGAGTCACACTGTGGAGAAGAAGGGGACCAGCATGGTAGCGATACGCACAACGGGGTATGAAAAGTCTTCTTTCACTGTTGTGCTTGGCTGCCATGCTAATGGACAGAAACTGCCGCCTATGGTGATTTTTAAGCGAAAGACTTTGCCTAAAGAGAAGTTTCCAGCAGGAATCATCATTAAGGCAAATGAAAAGGGCTGGATGGAAGATGAAATGATGAAAAAGTGGCTGAGGGAGGTGTATGTAAGGAGACCAGGTGGTTTTTTCCACGCATCACCATCGCTCTTAATCTGTGACTCTATGCGTGCCCATCTCACAGCCGATGTGAAAAAACTAGTGAAACAAATGAACTGTGAGCTTGCTGTCATTCCGGGAGGCCTGACAA